TTACATTTTGCATTTGTATATATATATATTTTGTTTGTTTTCTTAAAATGTATTATGTTTATTCACAAAAGCATATTTTATGTGTTTTAACAGTACACAAAAGTCAATCCATTGCCTTTTCTCTGAAAAGGCAATGTTTACATTGAAAAGCCTGCAGGAACATATTTTACACAGAAGAACAACTACATTAAAGGGACACTATAGTCACCAGAACAACTACAGCTTATTGAATTTGTTCTGGTGAGTAGAATCATTCCCTTCTGGCTTTTTGCAGTAAACACTGTCTTTTCAGAGAAAATGCAGTGTTTACATTACAGCCTAGTGATAACTTCACTGGCCACTACTCAGATGGCTGCTAGAGGTGCTTCCTGTGGCAGTGCTGCACAGTCTGACTGACATTCAGTGTCTCCACCCTCTGCATGGAGGCAATGAACCTTCTTCATGAGATGCATTTATTCAATGTATCTCTATGAGAAGATGTTGATTGGCCGGGGCTGTGTTTGACTTGTGCTAGCTCTGCCCCTAATCTGCCTCCTTTACAGTCTCAGGCAATCCACTGGAAAATCATTGTGATTGGCTCAGAAAATCACTTCTGATTATGTCAGCTGTAAGCAGGCAGGTCAGGGGCAGAGGCAGCAGCTACATACTTGAATACAAGTAAGATTTTACTATATTTAGGTAGGCCAGGAGGGGCTAGATGGTGGTTTTAACACTATAGGGTCAGGAAATTTTTAAAATAGATTTCCTTTAAGCAGTAATTGTTCTGGTGACTATAATATCCATTTAATAATTATTTGTGTTGAGCATCTTTTCTGATACAGCAAATGCAATCCAATTTTTGTTATTACTCTCACTAAAGACTTCACCAGGAGTCAATTTATTCAGCCATTAAACTCTTTAATTGAGCAAATCCCATCACTTAAAGGAACACTATAGGGTCAGGAACACAAACATGTATTCATTACACTATCGTTTTAAAACCACCATTTAGGTAGCTTGCTCTCCTTAACCCCTTTTAAAGGAAATAAAACTTGCCTTATTTCTACCAGCGCTGGCGAAACTCTGGCTTGGTCAATCAGCACCTTCTCATAGAGATGCATTGAATAAATGCATCTCTATGAGGAAAGTTCAGGGTCTTCATGCAGCATTACCCCAGGAAGCACCTCTAGTGGCCATCTGTGGAGTTGCCACTTGGAGATGTCCCTAGGGAGTAATGAAAACTCAGAAATTGCAGAGTTTGCATGAAAATGCCAGCAGGGAATGTTTATACTCTTAAGAACAATTACATTAAGCTGGTGACTATCGTGTCCCTTTAAGTCCAAATTAATGATAATTTATTTAAGACTGTATATACCTTTACAAATGTTAAAATAAGATATTATGGTCATGGTAATCATGCAGGCAAATTACTATCTGTCACATGGCAAGGCAATTTCAGACCAAAATTCCTCATATAATCTCCGTAGATGGCTGCAAACTTCTAAATCCGAAGATATATGCATTATATAGACAACTCTATAATTTGAAAGATGACAAATCTTTACATCAACCACCTCTCCTGGGATTCATCAGGAAAAGGCAGGGCATGGGCAGAAACCCACAAGGTTATTATTACTGGTATTTATATAGTGCCTGCTTATGCCACAGTGATTATAAATCTCTTATATATTTTACAAACTGTGTAAAACTAGGCCCAGAGATCTATAATGTGTTTTATAAGTATAGTACAGGAATACATGTTTGTGTTCCTTTAAATTATAGTCATATGGGTTTGCCAAATTGAGGAGATGGCCACATCAGCTTTATCATTAATTTGTAAATAAGTCCATAATTCTGTTCGTATATCAGAGATATATGATTAATCATTTAATAGAGTATCATTTGGTCTCCATAAATTGCACCCACAAAATTTAAGTTGGTCTTTTAAGGTGAGCATTATTGATGAATGGTCTGACCATGAAATATCCAGAGTGTACAGTTAATTACCAAAAGAAGAGAAGGGATAATTATAAACTCGTTCATTCTAGAATACCTGTGGTGCTCCATATATCATAAGAAATTAAAACTAGTAAGAAGTTTAACTAAATATTTACATTGAAGTATGAATTTTATCCATACAAGATACCACTTGTGATTGCTGCTGGTAGATGACAAAAGCTGACAGCGAAACTCTGCTTTCTATCAACTTTTGCCAATATCAGACTTGACCATCACATAAAGTATTCCCTACTTTGTGTTATATAATAGCAATGAATGAAGGTCCAGATGCGATGTCCAGTAACGTGCAAAAAAAAAAGGTCTATTACATTAAAAATCAGTGATAATAAAATAATAGACACGCTGTCTCTTGCAAGTATTTTGAATGTGCATCTAGTGATGGTGCTGCAGCTGTCAGCTTGAGGTAGCTGGGATGTTCGGGATGCAGCAACCCTGATTAATCTGTATCAGTCAGCGTTGTAGTAATCCCTTAGAGCAGGGGTCCTCAAACTCCGGCCCCCCAGATGTTGCTGGACTACAACTCCCATCATTCTTTGAATCACATAGATAGCCAGAAAATCATGGGAGTTGTAGTTCAGCAACATCTGGGGGGCCGGAGTTTGAGGACTCCTGCCTTAGAGCTTCAGAGTCCCTGCCCCCATGTATGACGTCAACGCGTTTAGCCGATATCTCCGGCTTCCTCAGGACGTGATGCTGTCAGTGCCATCTTGGAAGAGGGAATTTGAAGGTCTGATCAATGTTCCTCATTGCTGATTGCTGCCTTCATTTGAATGTCCCGGAATGTCCGTGTTCGATCCCCAGTTACACTAAAGTTCTTACTACAAGAACCTTCTTATATTGTGGAGATCGTATGATAGGCAGACATTACAGGATAAAATAGACTCTGTCTTAAACCCACATAATTAAACCTAACAAACAGTCGAGTAACAAAAGGAAAAAATTTATACACATAACACTAATGCACAGCACTTTTAAATCCTATTATAGGAAAATAATATATTGAACAAAGCTGATTAAAATGATTTAATAATATGAATGAATGAGTACTAAAAGCAGTTTCCATGTATAAAAAGATGAAAAGGGATTTTCTCCATAAATATAAATAAAGTGCATATTTATGATTATATTCATCAGGGAAATAGGAGAGAGAAGTATAGACTGCAGTTAAACTTACACAGCCAAAAAAAAAAATATATATATAACCAATAAAATACCAATAAAAAATATATATAAAACATGGCAGAGTAGATAAACATGTAATTACTATTCAACGACAGGAAATAATTTATAGTATAAATCCTTAAAAGATATTATATATAATCCTAAAAAAACCCATCCATATATGTCTTAATAAATTAGATAAAATTATAAAAAAAAAACCCAAACAGATTCTGTTATTTTAAAAAATGGCGAATTTCACAATCATGATTTAAGCCATTAGGGATCATGGTATTTAATTTAAATATCCACCTCATTTCTGCCTGCCTAATTTTTTTAATTAAAATCACCACCTCGCCAATCTCCCTTTAATTTTTGAATCCCAGTGAATTCCAATTTGGTGGGATCTCTGAAATGGAATGACATTTGGTGCAGTGTGAATCTCCTCTTAATGTTATACACATGCTCACTGTAGAAAAGGTGGACTCTTATAATAATTAATCTGCTTGTTACGTATTCATATGTATGTAAATTCTTCTTTCCTATTGTTGGGTGGCTTGCTTTATATCATGTATATTATAGTTCTTCTGTGTCACTTAGGAAATATAACAAAATCAGACTTTCCTGGCTTTTCTCATAAAAGAGATTTATTCTTCGTTCCTCGCAAATGCAAAGTCAGTACTTACAAGGTCATTGATGTTAAATAGGTCAACAGCTGATGGTACATGCTGGACATTCAGAGTGTGAAGACACTCTGCCTTGATGTTCCGTGTATCGGTGTCTGTGTCTCATTCTCCTAGACACTCCCTTACACAGATAATACATTCTTCATATGTACCACCATAATGGCTGTGTAAGCATTACAAAGTCAATGCTATTGATACAATATGCTTGTTGACAATTCTAATAGAAACATAGAAACATAGAATGTGACGGCAGATAAGAACCATTCGGCCCATCTAGTCTGCCCAATTTTCTAAATACTTTCATTAGTCCCTAGTCTTATCTTATAGTTAGGATAGCCTTATGCCTATCCCACGCATGCTTAAACTCCTTTAATGTGTTAACCTCTACCACTTCAGCTGGAAGGCTATTCCATGCATCCACTACCCTCTCAGTAAAGTAATACTTCCTGATATTATTTTTAAACCTTTGTCCCTCTAATTTAAGACTATGTCCTCTTGTTGTGGTAGTTTTTCTTCTTTTTAAATATAGTCTCCTCCTTTACTGTGTTGATTCCCTTTATATATTTAAATGTTTCTATCATATCCCCCCTGTCTCGTCTTTCCTCCAAGCTATACATGTTAAGATCCTTTAAACTTTCCTGGTAAGTTTTATCCCGCAATCCATGAACCAGTTTAGTAGCCCTTCTCTGAACCCTCTCTAATGTATCAATATCCTTCTGAAGATACGGTCTCCAGTACTGTGTACAATACTCCAAGTGAGGTGTCACCAGTGTTCTGTACAATGGCATGAGCACTTCCCTCTTTCTACTGCTAATAACCCTATTAGGTCATCCCATGTTCCATGGACACTCAGAAATAGAGAAGAGCTTGCAACACTTATTGTCATATGTTCATATCACTCAAGATCAAGCACACCTCAGTGTGAAATGAATGTAAGAGGCATTTCCAAATTATAGAATATTTTACGCTCACATACTCTTGTGTATCACATTCTTGTTGTACGTCTTATGTAGCTTAATCAGCAAGGGCAGGTGAGCATGTTTATAACATTGCGGGAGCTGCAAGTCATACCATCTCTAATGTTGTGTACATGGTCATTGGCTAAAAATGTATTTTAACATTTTTTCTTTCCCCCAGTTTTCAAACATACAATGCAGTTGCCACATTTAAAAAACCCTTAGTAAGTATTTTTAAAAATCCTCCTTATTGTATCCCTAGGGACTTCTAAAATCATATCTGTGAGGATTCTCTTGAGGTTAGGTACCCCTCTATGCACAATCTTTGGTTTTGTTGGCAGATTATCTTTTAGAATCGGGTCCTCCAACAATAATTGCAAATAATTAACTATTACTCATCTCACTTTTTGATTTTGACTTCCAGAGAATTGGCGGATAAAAGGTATTTCACTATTGAATTCTTTATTATTTTTGTTTTTATATTCCAATAGTTGTGCTCTATCTATATCCTGTTTCTGTTCAGTCGCAGCATTTCAGATTTCCTCACTAAAGTCTCTATCTTTAAAATCTTGAATTCTTTTTTGGCTCTGTTGGATAAAAACCTTATTTTCTGTACAATTTATTTTTAATCTAGTCGGTTGTTTTTTAGGTACATTGTTGAGCCACCGACTGTAGTTGCAACTATCTGTCTGTATGTAACTATTTACATCTACAGTCTTGAATAAAGTTTTTGTCGTTATCTTATTTTCTTCTATATATAGGGTTTGATCAACAGAATTGATTTCTTTATTGCTGTACAGGGACATTAAGCTGATACCCCAATCATTGGCGTTAATATATTAAATAAAAAGTTTGAAAAGGTACCCGTCTTACTTGAAAGACACCACCAATGCACTACAAGCCCTCAAAGATAAATAGTGGAAGGATAATTTTCTTTTAGTTTCAGCAGATGTTTCATCACTATACACCAGCATTCAGCACAATTTAGCAACTAAGGCAGTTAAATATATTTTGGAAACTAATTCTCCCTATCCCCAAAGCCAAATTAATTCTGTTCTGGTATAAATCCAACTCATATTGGAAAACAACTACTTCTGGTTCCAGGGCAATTTTTACCTTTAGAAGTGTGGCTCAGCAATGGGCACCAAGTTTGCCCCCAGCTTTTTGAGAGGACTGTGGAAGAATTAGTGCATGGAAAGTGTTAAAATACCACCATTTGAAATACCCTAGGGTGCCCACTTTTCAAAAATATATGGTTTGATGGGGGTAAATTACATTGGCCGGCTTCAAAAATGCCCCACATGGGTGCATGATGACCAGTTGTGAAAATTCTGAGTTGGAAAACTGTAATGTTCACCCTCCAAATAAGGTCTTTTAGCTCACAGAGAACACAACACACCTATACATGGATGGTATCACTGTACTCAGGAGATGTTGCTGAACACATATTGGGGTGTTCTTTGAAAGTAACACCGAACAGGAGCTGAGAATCCATGCCTAAAGTAGAATGTGTGTGAAAAATAATAAAAAAAATTACTACCCAAACGTTTGACAGAGACTGGTGGTAGAATTAGTGCATGGAAAGTATTAAAATACCACCATTTGAAATACCATAGGGTGTCTACTTTAAAAAAAAAAATATGGTTTGATGGGGTAAATTACATTGGCCAGCTTCAAAAATGTCCCAAATGGGACATGGGTGCATGATGACCAGCTGTGAAAATTCTAAGTTGGAAAACTGGAATGCGCACCCTCCAAATAAGGTATTTTATCCCCCAGAGAACTCAACACACCTATACATGGGTGGTATCGCTGTACTCAGGAGATATTGCAGAACACATATTGGGGTGTTCTTTGGCAGTAACCCTTAAAGTTCTCAGTACATGTATTCTTAAATTGCGTTGTGTGTCAAAAAAAATCACAAATAATTTTTTTTAAATTTGGCATTGGTGGTAAAATGGTTGCATGAAAAGATTCAAAATACCCCAGGTTTAATACCTTAGGTTGTCTTCTTTTAATAAAATATATACATGTGAAGGGTTATTCAGAGATTCCTGACAGATATCAGTGTTACAATGTAACTTGTGTTAATTTTGAAAAAAATTGGTTTGGAAATAGCAAAATGCTACTCTACTTGTACCTATAGCCCTATAACTTTCCAAAAAAAGCTAAGAACATGTTAACTTTGGGCATTTCTAAACTTAGGACAAAATTTAGAAACTATTTAGCACGGGTGTTTTTTGGCAGTTGTAGATGCGTAACAGATTTTGGGGGTCAAAGTTCAAAAAAGTGTGTTTTTAAAAATGTTTTCATCATATTTTTTTATAGTAAATTATATGATATGATGAAAATAATGGTATGTTTAGAAAGACCATTTAATGGCAAGAAAAACTGTATTTAATATGTGTGGGTACAGTAAATGAGTAAGAGGCAAATTACAGCTAAACACAAACACCGCAGAAATGTAAAAACAGCCCTGGTCCATAACTGTAAAAAAATTGAAAAACGACCTGGTCACTAAAGGGTTAAACTAGTCATCTTTCTGTGAAATTGTATGAAATCAACAACAGCAATAAATCAATACCTCGGAATAGGAATGTATACATTAATCGTTTTATTGTTTTGCAGCTCGTCCAACCATTAAATCACTGGAGAAACGGGAAAGGACAGATGGAAGGGAAGAGATGGTTTGCTCAGTCACTGGGTTTTACCCAAACAAAATTGCTGTAACGTTACTAAGGAATGGAAAAGTAGCAAACGAGTCTGTCCTGAGCCAGATTCAGACCAGTAGTGATGGCACTTACAGTATCAACAGAACCATGACTTTACAGCCCAACGAAAAATTCAACAGCCTTTCCTGTGAAGTGCAGCATGAATCTCTTCTAGACCTTCTAAAGAAAGAAGTCCGTCTATTGTACGAAGGTAAGCAAAATAACTAATCTTACCTATATGTCCCAGTTAGTGATGTCGCGAAGGCAGCTTCAACATTGATGCTGTCCAGGAGGTAGGAGGGTCTGGGAGGCAGGGTCTGCTGGAGATTGGCCGGGATGCGTCAGCTAACCGGAGTTCGCAACGAACCGTGGCGAGCCGTTCGTGGGAAGTTTGCGAACGGTTCGCGACATCACTAGTCCCAGTTTGGTTTATCTTCAAAACATCAAACCATTAAAATATAAATAAATATAAAAACAATCAATATGCCACTTTGCCCATTGTCTCCACTGGTTTTGTTTGTAATAAGAGACTACCTTTTAGAAGAAACCTCAGGTGTGACTGGATATTTATCTTTTCTGCCATTAGTAACATTGTCACAGACAGGGCTTCCATCACAAATGTTATGATCCCTTACAGAGCTCAAGGCTGCTCACAGGGTTTCACTCTGAATATGCCCACAGGGCCGGACCCGAGTATTTAGCTCAGCAGCAGCCTTTCAATCTGTTCGTTGCTGAGCTTCCATTCCCCTAAAAAAAAACATAGAAAGCCCTTATTCGAAAATATTAACCACCACCAGGGATCACCAGGGGCCCCTGGACTACCATAGGTTCCCCTCCAGAAACACAGGGCATTCTTACACACAAATACCCCAACAGCAGTGCTATGGAATTTGGTGGCGCTATATAAATAAAATAATAATAATTACTCACAGCCCATACCTCCCCACATTACACAAAGCCAATGCGCACCACACATACATTATACACAGCCAACAAAGCCCAAACGCACACCACACGCACATATCACACACAACACACACATACTTAACAAAGTCAGTGCTCATGCACAGACACCAAACATACTACACACTGCCAGCACACTATGCGAGTCTTTAACACATGGCAAATGGGGCAGCTGCCCCAGGCCCACTTACTTCCTGGGTGGCCTAAAGCAGCTGTCCTGTGGCCCCGCTGCAATCTACTACAGTATTGATTTTTTTCCCCATGGGCCCGCACACTAAGGAGGCCCACGCACTAAGGACCACCCAGTAGGCATTTGTAAGCAGGGGCCCAGTTGTGCGCTGTGGGCCCCTTGCTGTTCATCAGCCTGGGAGGAAGATAAAACCAAAAGTCACTTCCTCCCACAGATAACAGAAAGCAGCATGGGAGAGACAAAGGAGGCAGGGAGGAGGGGGTCAGGGCTGGGAGGGCTAGTCGCTAACTCCCAACAGCCTCAGACACCACTCAGGACACCAGGGAGGCAGGAAATGGGAGGTGGGTTTAAAAGTGTATAATTTGCATGTGTGAATGTGCGTTAGTTTGTCTGTCAGAATATTTGTGTGTCAGTATGTCTGTCAGTGCATGTGTCGGCTTGTGTCAGCCAGTATTTGAATATAGAAAAGAATCCAGGCACTCCAGCGAATTCCAAAATATAGGCAATCTTTATTGGAGCAAGGAATCAAACAGCAACGTTTCGACCCCTTAGGACCTTTGTCAAGTGGGTCGAAACGTTGCTGTTTGATTCCTTGCTCCAATAAAGATTGCCTATATTTTGGAATTCGCTGGAGTGCCTGGATTCTTTTCTATATTCAGATGCTACAATTGGTCCTTTTTGGTACTGGGACTTATCCACTAGAGCACCCTGAATTCCAGACGAAGGATTGAGTGCACTTCCATCACCTACATATGTGTCAGCCAGTATGTCTGTCAGTGTATGTATCTGTGTGTGTCAGTATGTCTGTCGGTGTGTATGTGTCTGTGTGTGTCAGTATGTCTGTCAGTGTATATGTGTGTGTCAGTATGTCTGTCAGTGTATGTATCTGTGTGTGTCAGTATGTCTGTCGGTGTGTATGTGTGTGTGGCAGTATGTTTATTAGTGTATGTCTTTGTGTCAGCATGTCTGTCCGTATGTCTGCTGCTTGTCCTTGTTCTCACACTGTTCTTTCAGGCAATCAGGAGCAACCCAGATATCATGCCTCCATTCAAGCCAGAAGCTGTAGCTCTGCATGCTGTTAGACTAAAAAAAAACAAAAAAACAAGCAGTCTGCTGACATCATCAGAAGTGGTGGCCTGATCCAATCACAATGCTTTCCCATAGGATTGGCTGAGACTGACAAGGAGGCAGATCAGGGCAGAGCCAGCATGATTCAAACACAGCCCTGGCCAATCAGCATCTCCTCTTTCTTCGTGATTGACAGATGACTCTCTCTGCCTTAGTGTTGCATTTCTCTCTTTGGTTTGGTAGTGAATGTGTCTCTTTTCTAAGAGACAGATGTCTCACCATATAAGTGAAGATGTCTTCCTGTTATTGTGATGTGTGTCTTTCAGCTATTTTGTTTTCTATGAGTGCCTTGTCCCGTAACATGTCTGTACAGTACGGACTCCTTTCATCATATTAATGTTTGATGAGATATCTCATATCTTTCCTCAATGTTCATCTCCTGAACAACCAATGGGCAGTAAGTATTGCTTGTTATGAGTGATGACAATCATTTAGTTTGAAGCACAATGCAGTTTTATTGAAACTTAAAAGAGTGATTTACATTTAAAATTAAATATTACCATTTATTTCAAACCCTACAGGACAAAATAACAATCAGTCTCTAATCATCGGATTGGTCGTTGCTGGGATCATTGTGGCTGTGTTTATAACAGGTTTTGTAGTATATACACAGAAAAGGAAGAAAGGTAAGAATTTTTTCTATTTTGATTTATTTATTTCATTTTTTTATTATCCTACAACTCCATCAGAATACCATGCATGAATTGTAGTGATATGAAGGTATAACATGTTGTTTACATTACATGTATGTTTGGTTATTAATATCTCAGGAATTGGTTTGTCCAGATACTCATTTTTTGCAGTTGTTTACATATTATAATGGTGACATTTTTATAAATAGTTACCCCTATTTATCTGTTTTCACAAGAGAATACCTCATTGACCACAAACAATTGAATTAATCTAATATATAAAACTGCAAAGGTTGTTTTTATTCTATTAATGATTATAAAAATAAAATATACCATCTTTATATAGACATAATGGCCATCTATAGTAACTACAGCAACAAATTTGCCCTCCTGTCCTTCTCTGGCCATTTGAATACAACCATGGAGTTAGACTTACAAATGTTGCTCTGTGTGAGCAGACATTATTGGCAGTCAGCCGGTAAAACGTAGCCACAGTGTTTGGCAAACAGTCGGTATTTTGTAGCCACTAATAGTTACTGGCTATTGTTAACAGAGACAGCTTGCAGTAACTATTTACTGACACACTTCAATTTAATAAGCTTTCAAAATTAATCAACACAGTTAGACAAACTGTCCAATTATTTATCTACAGATATCTAGCTACCAGATGCTATAATCGCAACAGCTTAACTATTTACTGACAATATTGGAGACACTAACCTGCTGTTTCTATTGTGTAAATTAAAGTGTTCTCTTTATTTGAAAGGTTTGCTGCAGTTTATGGTGGGTGACATTCAGGGTCCTCAGACCTGGATTGATGGAGAGAAGATCACTCTGTACTGTACGTCTAACTGTACTCCCAACACTGAGGTTAAATGGACCATACAGGATAAAGATGGGAACAGCGTTACGATTTCTGACATTGTGACAAAGGACGCAGAGGAGAAACAGCCGCTCATGTCAGCAGAATATCTGATAAACAGCGAAAAGAAGGATAAACCAGGAAAAAAAGTTTGTGATTTTACCAGCTCTCTGAGTTTTATCCCATCTTTATCAAGACATCTTAACTCAGCCGTGACGTGCGAGTTTACCTGCGCTGAGAAAACCGAGCAGAAATCATTCAAATACAAATCGATTTACGGTAAGGAACAAGTCAAAGCTCATATCGTGAAGAGGATTTTACTGTAAATAATTGTGGAAGTTAAAGCTAATAACAATGAGGGTAATTAGCTAAACACAGAATTGTAATAAACTGAAATTCAGATTGCAACACATATTCAAAACTTGCTGATTTGTACACATTTTCCAACTCAGCTATAGTCACAGTTTGGCTGTTTTTGTTTTGCAATTTGAATTTCGATTCACTTTAACTTAATGTTTAGTGAATAAACTCCATTGACTCGGAGACTGCTCATGCTAAGTTACTCCAAACACACAGAAATACCCATCACTCCTTTTAATAAACTGCATCCATTGCAATCCAACCAAACCAAGGTCCCTGCACCCTTACTATGTATCGAATAGGTTGTACTTATTGGTGTTTTTATTTTTCAAAGTAATATAGCAACAGCAAGAGATATCATTATTGGACTCCATGCAAATCGCACAGAGGGTATAGACCGTACAAGCATACTTAGGTGATAACATCCACTGTAAATTATCAGCAGAAGCAACAGAGGTCTTGGAGGCCCCCTTGATGATAGAGGAACTAGTGGCAGTGATCAAGATGATGAAACCAGGCAAGAGCCCAGGCCCAGACAGACTGGCGATACGTTATTATGTTTTTAGGACATTTTTCTCCCACATTTTCTGTCTGCATACAATTCACTAACTCAGGGCTGGAGACTACCCCCTCAGGGGCCTGTGGCTAGTGTAGCCCTGATACCCAAAGAGGGTAAGGATATGGAACAATGTGCCAATTATCAGCCTATTTCCCTTTTAAACTGTGACCTGAAGCTCTTTGCCAAAATCCTTACCCTTCCTCATGAAGCCAGACCAAGTGGGCTTTATCCCTCACTGTGAAGCTAGGGACAACACCTCAATTGCTCTGTTCATGATTCATATGTGTGAGGGCCTTCTTCTGCTATCTACCGATGCAGAGAAGGCTTTTGACAGAGTTGGGACTTCCCTTTTTGCACCCTTCATGCACTGGGAATGGGACCAAATATGTGCGCATGGATCAAGGCATTATATGTTGCACCCTCAATGAGGGTGCTTTCACTGACACTTTCAGAATCCACAGCGGAATCAGACAAGGCTGTCCGCTGTCATCACTGCTGCTTGTCCTTGTTCTCAAACTGTTCTTTCAGGCAATCAGGAGCAACCCAGACATCAAAGGTATCGAGGTGGGCTGCATATGCGGATGACCTGATCTTTTTTTCCCCAGGCATGGAACACCGCGCATTCACATGCTTGCTACCACAATCATATATTCAAGCTAGACACCTAATGGTAGGGGACAAGATCAGACCCCTTTGTGACTTTACAGACGGTACACATACCACATATCTACACAGACTGAAATACGAACAACTACGACAATTCAAAAGCCATATCCCACAGAAACCCGACCTATGCAGGACACTGACCCCATTTGAACTTTTGAGTGAGGACCCAGGTTTCACTCTTACATGCAATATCCCACATATACTCCCTGCTCCCACGTACTAGGAACCTCCCATCTCCTCAGTACATGGGCAATTAGTAAACCATGATTGCGGACACTTTTACTGAACAGCAATGGGGCAAGATATGTGACTTGGTGCACCACTGTGCGCTAGCAAAGCAAAACCCAAGAGACAGCCTACAAGGTTCTATACTTGTGGTACAGAACCCTGCAGCTTCTGCTGAATATGAACCCAGACCTGAACGATAGATACTGGTGATGCCACGCAGGCGTAGGCATGTTCTTGCACATCTGGTGGGACTGCCCTAGGGTTATACCTTATTGGAGGGCAATAAGTAAGGTCTTGCAAACGCTCTATAACAATTCCCCCCCTTTTAGACCTGCTGCCTACCTCCTACACAACACTGACGGCCATATACAAGAAATCTTTAACTGTCAGAATATTAAACACTCTACGGTCTACTACGCAGACTTTCAGAATTTGCTAAAAGGGGTGACAATTTGGAAACCTAGGAGATGAGAGAGATGTCACTCAAGAGCAGAGACAGACTTAGTTGAAGGTCTCGGGTCACCGGTCCAGGCGGGACAGGGGTTGACAACCCACTACTTTGACAAATCTGTTGCTCCCAATCAGATCACCCCCATGAGGGAGTTCTCAGAGAGTGGATACGGGACCGTTGTCACATGGGAAGTTGTTTGGAGACGGCACATTGAGATGCTAATTTTAATGAATAATTAATAGCCATATCCTTTTCACTACAAGAGTATAGGTTTGGACTGTTTTATTCCTTTTGACATGACCTTCGAGCACTATACAGTAAAGCACGGTCCCACAGAACACATAGGGCTACACCACCCACGTTGATTGAGTTATTGCATTCTGTTATTTCTAATGTTACCTCAAACTTACACAAGGTCTGTAATTGATAATTCTTATTGATTTGCTTCCTGCTTCCCTGCATGGCCATATAAAAGAGAGAAATTGTGACTTTCAGAGACCTGCATGTCCTACTATTCTGCATTTTGATATTGCTTTTGAATTCTAATAAAACTTTAATTCACACAAAAAAAGGAACTATAGATGTAACTTGGAAAAAAGTATTGTAGACAACACACAGGGTAATACTGTTAAAAACAACACCCCAAGAAAAGATATATATTGCAGTGACAAAATGTCTGGTCAGTCTGATATGGATATAATAAGGGTTTACTCTGTGATCTCGTTTTGTGTATTTGTTTAATTGCCCTTGAAAGTTGCAGGGTGCAGTCACAGAGCTGGTAATTAACATGTTATAAGGTTATTCACTAAAGTAAGAATTGCAAGAAGGTTACAATCTAATTTAAGGCCAAAATTGCCAAACTGTAAAAGGAAATGACTAAATTTTGCTATTTTAACTTAAATTTTAAATTCTATTTAAATTCCTATTTTAGCATTTCTCACGGTAGTGAAAAACCCTGAAATCTTACAATCCAGCAAATATGAGTCGGGATATTTACTAAAGTGAACTTGAGTTTATGTAGATTTTCCATCAGCCTTGTCTTGCTATGTTTTGTTCTGTTTGCGGATAACTTCTGGTCCATTTAAACTCTGCAGATATCAAGTTTGGAGTTTCCATTAACGCTTTTATCATTCTGGCTGTGAATTTGTTAAATTATATTGGTGACGGCTTCCTTGATTTTTTTTGACCTTTTGACCCTGCGTTACAGCCAAACCCCAGTTCATTGAGCCAGCTGAGTTCACTATCTGCAATACTGAAGAAGTTCAACTCTGCATCAACCTGCGCAAGTTTTATCCGAAACACATTGACATTAGCTGGAGCTGTGACCATCGGCAACTTCCTGATATAAAGAACCCGGAATGTACAATGAATTCTGATGGAACTTACAATACTGTGATCAGACAGCCTATCCCTGCTGCTTGGTTCAGTGATCCCAACTGTAAAGTCCGTGTGACATGGAGACATGTATCTATGGAGTCACCTGAACATAGGGAGTTCTCTGTTAAAGGTATGAGAGGAATTACACAAACACACTTTACTCATTGTTGGTTTTAGAAGATGATGACATACCAACCTACATCAGGAGGTCCTAAATTGTGACAGGAGATGGGACAGGTCTATGAGGGCATTTCAGTCTGATGCCACTTACGTCACTGGCAATGTCCAGGATGGGTGATCATGCCTGGATAGGGTGCAGGGCTGCCCAAAGAAGAGGCACATTAGTTTGGTTTGAACACACAGCAGACTGAATGACAGCTCACTTAAAATCAGGCTAGTTCCACCAGATCCTGGACTGTGGGGAGATGTGTGCATGAGGAAACCTCAGCTCCACTTCCTACCTGTCAGATCCCTATGTCCATACAGCACAAAAGTAGGGAAGCTTTACAGCAGGAGACATTAGATTAAAAAATGTGTTTTGCAGAGGAATTGGGGGAAGGGGGAGTAAGAAGAAAAGGAAGGCGGAGGAGGAGGACAGGGGGTAAAAGACATTGTCACGTTACATACATAAATGTTTATAATGATGTCAGCACAATTTCCCCATGAATTTGGGTTTAGCTCAGTAATCGTGGTGGCAGTCACTCACCCTCTCTACATCACATTCAATGTGAAACAAGGTTATGCAGTCAGGTCATTATTTGGTTCCATCTGTGGGTGCCCCCTTCCAAGCTTCTATGCTCAGGTAAAGTTTTATCAGATAGAATCAAGGAACCGAGTAGCTTCTCTGTTGAGGGAAGGCGTGTAGTACAATGCAATAGTACAATGCAAATAGTACAATGCAACGAGGGGGTTTGGTCCTGCCAGCCCAAGGTCTTAACTCACCTGTGGATTTGGCGTATTCGCTCAATTTGCAGACTGGGGGGTAAGCAACTATATACAAAGCAATGGTACATATCTTAGTTTGCTTTACAAGTTAGGATGTACCGATCTCCGTGTTTTCCATGCCACTAGTGCTGTTTGGGTAGGGTGGCAAATGCACCGAAAGCACCGTTCATATGTGTGTTGACTATTTCTTCCAGTAGCATGGCCATAGTCGGAGTTTGCAAGAATTTCCAAGACCTTGCTTTTAGTATTTGTGCTGTCAACAGCCTGTGGTAGATCAGTTTTTGATTATGCTTGGTTACTCCCGGTGGTGTATGCAGTAATAAATAAGTAAGTGGGTGTAGAGGTAGCCGGCAGTCAGTGATATCTTCCAAGATGACAGAGTGCCAAAATTGTGTGATCATCGGACACTGCCACCATATTTGTAGAATTAAGCCATCTCTCTTGCATCTCAAACACAGCGGAGAGCTGTCAGGGAATAATTTGTGGATTCGATCTGGTACCATATACCACCTGTACTCCATTGTCTACTGTTGTTCCATAAGGGTAGGGGATTTAAGGAGCTGTTTGGGGTTTTAAAAAATGTTTTCCCATAGTTTTGTGTTATCACACACTGTAGCCCATAGTTGAGCAGGTTTAGAGTTAAGAAACGGCAAGTTGTCTAGCAGCATTTTCTAACACATGGAGATGAATTTACAAAGCGGTATCAGTTTCCCTTTGATACAAATCTGTTCCCATGGGGTGATTTCCTGGGTTTTGAGTGAGGACTTATGGATTCTGGTATTTGCCTGCTTCAGAAAAGAGTGTAGTTGTATTTAGGAGAATTGGGACGCCTGGGGGACACCAAAAGTGGACCGTAGGCTGGAGAAGGGCAGGAGTTGATTTTTCAGACATAGGTGATACAGGTGAATGGCCCCTCTCTCCTGCCACGGCTTAGCTTGGAAAGTGGGTATGTAATATGGGAGGGCCGATATAGGCATTGCTAGGGACAGCTGGCCAGACTGCTTAGTGCAGATCTGTGTCTATCCCATACTTTTATAGTAAGTGCTACCTGTGCAGGGGCATCCGGTATGGGTGGTCTAACTTATTTAGGTAGCCACAGAACACTAGGAAGGTCATGTGGGTGTATGAGTGCTCGTCCCAGGACCACCCATTGGAGAGGAGGCCGACCTAGGAAGTGTTGTAGGGCTGAGGCCAGGATAGATGCATAGTAGTACGTTCTCACCTGAGGGACCGCCAATCCCCCCTCATTAAATGGGGCCTGTATAAGTTTCAACGCCACTCTGGGTCTACCTTGTCATGTCTGTTTGGATATTTTTAAAAAAGGAAAGGGGAGACAGTGGATGGGTGCCAAAAATATTTTGTAGTCTGGGGAGTATGGACATTTTAAGAGCCACGATCCATTCCAGCTATGTCAGAAATAGGGTCTTTCACTGAGTGAGTATTTTTTTGCAGTCGTTCCAGACTCTTATATAATTCTCTGGGTAGAGGTCAGTCACCCTTTTAGTAAACACCAACCCAATCTTTCCTCCACTCAAACTTATAGGCCCCTCGGAGGCACTCTATTTCCAAGGCAGGGTTGACACTTTTTATTGTACTCTCAGTGCAAATATATATAAAACAAGATAAATTATGCTTTTGTAGGGATATTTTTTTACAGAATTTATATTTATATATGCAAAGTTTTACACAAGAAACGCAAAATGAAATGTTATCTTCATGTATCAGTGGGTGTAACTTTATTACACTGTGGCGGAACCAACCTCCCCACTGGCCACTGGAGGAGGAGCCTGGTCACCCACCTCCTGCCACTGGACTATGGCCCCATGTTTAACACTGTTCTTTTTCCCTGCAGAGAGGCTAGTTTGTGCCTTAACACAGTAAAGGAGTTTAAGCATGCATGGGATAGGCATAAGGCTATCCTAACCATAAGATAAGGCTAGGGACTAATGAAAGTTTTTAGAAAATTGGGCAGACTAGATGGGCCGAATGGTTCTTATCTGCCGTCACATTCTATGTTTCTATGTTTCTATGTTTCTATGTTTCTTCAGACTGTTAAAGCCATGCTACCCCAGATAGCTATGCCATGGAGCCCAGCCGTATGCTGAAAGACTGTATGAAAGACTTTGGCTCCATGGCGATTGAACTGTATGTATGTAATCTGAGCGCCATTCAGTAATAATGTGCGCTCAGATCTAAGCTATCTGGGGACAGGTAGAATGTGTATGTTCTATGTGATAAATGTAACAGTATGTATTTTAATATCTTTTATTGTCCTTTGTCTGCCATGTGGTTAATGGAGTTTTGCCTCTGTCCTTGGAGCTAATTGGATTACTTCCCAATACCTCCAGGACAGAGAGGAGGGATTGTGATGCATTGTGGGATTGTAAGCTTGTGATTGGTCAATGTCCAATATGTTGCCCAGTCTTCCATCTGGTCCCCTAGGGGAGTGTCCACCAGGTGGGAGACCTGCATAAAAGCCGGGCAGGTAGCCCCAGTAAATCAGTTCTGCTTGACCCTCAAACAAAGTGTCGTCTCGTTCTTGAGGGGAATTGGATTGTATGCTGTTACAGTGCGACTGCCAGTAGTGTAAGCTGTTCGTATGGTTTTTCCTGTTCGACTGTTTACAGCATTCGTGTGTTTCCTGTTCGGGAGTTTGGAGCATTCCCCTGGTTCCAGGTCGGGAGATTGGTGAATTCATGTGTTTGCAATTCGGGAGATTGGTGAATTCATGTGTTTGCAATTCGGGAGATTGGTGAATTCATGTGTTTGCAATTCGGGAGATTGGTGATTGCAGTAGCTGCCTGTACATCTGAAAAGGGGAATATCGGCTAAACGGTTTTTAACCTCTTGTGTGCAAAACGGTCCTTTACATACACCCACTGATAGTGGGAGAAAATAATATAGTGTAATATATAATACAAGAGGTGAAGCTGAAATGCTCCTATTAGTTGGAGAGGGCACCACATCACGTATATCCCTAGAGTGGGGATCATACCACTCCACACTGTCAAAATGAGCCACATATTAGGCTCTATTAAATGTGCAACTATTTCCTATTTTTTTAAATTTATTTTGTAATACTTGAGTATTATAAAATACTACATTATATTATATTGTATTGTTCATTTTTGTGTTCTGTTCCATATCCCTGGACCACCCATTGAGATCAAAAGACTCATTGCAATATCCTTAGGCAGGAATTGTAGAGCTCAAGCAAAACCAATAGGGGCATTTCAGATCCATTTCTTGTAAGTGCATTTCTTTTCCACCTCCACTACATCATACTTCTCCTGGTTAAGAGAGACTCCGGCCTGGATTGTCCGAGTTGCCTTCTTGAAAGGACCAGTATCTCTTTAGCACTGAATTCCACTCTTTGGTTGACCAATAGAGGAAAAAAAGGAGGACTAAAAAATCTTTATCTTATTTGTTATCCAGATACGTTTTTCATTATTGAAATTCTGCTGGTTTGATCCAACATATGGCCAAAATATAGCTGTCCCCCCCAAAAAATATTTTCAGGAAGAATGGTTTGTCTGAACTGGATTTTCTTGCTGAGCAGAAGTCTTCTCGTTACTCTGCCGGGTTGAAATGGCACTGTCTGTAAAACATTGACTATTATTAATCCTGGGCTGGTTTCTGTGATCTCTAGCTATGATCTGGTGAATTATAATTTATGCTAATTGCAGAATATATCCTATAATATGTCCTATATTGTATCTATGTTACATTCTCCAGTCTCCTATGTCATCAAAGTACTTTACTGTAACCGGCAGTTTTCCATTTCAGCAGGATTAGTATTGGCCTTGAGTTACGTTGTTTAGTTGAAAGCCAAAGCTCTGAGAAATGTTTGTAGCATTCTTACCCCTCCTTATCTATGTGTCTTCTAGATCTGCCATGGCATCCAGAGATTGGAGACATCAACATTCAAAAGTCCTCTGGCAGCAGTAATATTGAATTGCAATGTAAAATCTATCATTTCTTCCCTGATTTACTAACAGTAAAGTGGTATGAGAAGAAAAAAGGAGGCCAGGAGGTTCATGTGACAGACAGCGATAAATACAAAATCTCTGAAATCAGAGAAAGGGACGCCAATCTTACTTTCTCCTCTAACCCGTCACTGTCTTTTGAAAAGTCCTTCATTGCAGAGGAGGAAGTGGAGTTTATCTGTCGTGTGGAACATCCATGTATGAAGAATCCTATCCTGTCCAGCACAGGACTGCTACAAGTTACTGGTAAATGTGTTTGATGGGAATGGGTGAAAGAGGTGGAGATATGGTGGGATGGGGGATGTGATCACTTGTAGATGAATCCAAACTGTGGCTATTGGATTCCTGGTTAGTATTTCTATCGTTTCCTGATTCCTTGCAAGTTTATCTTTATAATTTTTCTGATTCTTTGTCTGTATCTCTCTATCATTTGTATATGCTACAATGTTTGAAACTTTCAGATCCAGCTCTGACAAGCCCCAGCAGGAGGTGAGGGAACAGTGAGTTCTTTAATTTTGTGTTATGTGTGAACTTAAAGGACCACTCTAGGCACCCAGACCACTTCAGCTTAATGAAGTGGTCTGGGTGCCAGGTCCAGCTAGGGTTAACCCATTTTTTTTATAAACATAGCAGTTTCAGAGAAACTGCTATGTTTATAAATGGGTTAATGCTTCCCCCAAAGCCTCTAGTGGCTGTCTCATTGACAGCCGCTAGAGGCACTTGCGTGATTCTCACTGTGAAAATCACAGTGAGAGCACGCAAGCGACCATAGGAAAGCATTGATAATGCTTTCCTATGCGACCGGCTGAATGCGCGCGCAGCTCTTGCCGCGCATGCGGATTAAGCTGACGGGGCGGAACGGAGGAGGATCGGAGGAGGAGAGCTCCCCGCCCAGCGCTGGAAAAAGGTAAGTTTTAACCCCTTTCCCCTTTCCAGAGCCGGGCACGAGGGGGTCCCTGAGGGTGGGGGCACCCTCAGGGCACTATAGTGCCAGGAAAACGAGTATGTTTTCCTGGCACTATAGTGGTCCTTTAATACAATAGGCCAAATTAACTTCTAGTGACTGGAGTGACGCCCCCAAAATAACTCCCACATTGTGGAGCATAGATAAGAAACACACAACCCATTTTGTCCGTTAAATATGAAATTTCACGCTTATTTTACCTCATTTGTTTTTCAATATAGACTTAGACATATTTAAATATCTAAATCTATCTTTTACAGTGTTATTCACCTTATTGATTCCAATGGGAAGGAGATAAGAAGAGAGGAAAAAACATGGTGCATCAATATGAACAAATTTGACAACGCTTTATTCAATTGCATCAACAAGATAAATAAATAATGAATAAAGCGTTGTCAAATTTGTTAATATAACTGCACTATGTTTTTTCCTCTCTTCTTATCGCTCTGCATTTATACCTGGATAAAGAGAAGATAGAGAGATTCCATATATAACATTACATTCTGCCTACTTACTATATAAGTTTGTGAGTGCATTTTTTGGTTACACCCTATTTGGTGTTCATACATACTACACCATAGTAGTTTTGTTTGTATTTTTGTATTGCAGATTATTTATGGTATATTGTAAAACTAGACAGGCATAGAATCATGTGGAAATCATGACGAAGGTGCATCTCACAAGGCACCGAAACACGCGTTGGGCATTCTTTTCAGTTTGGTTATGGGCACTGGGCATCTAGCACTATGATTTCCACATGATTTATTCAACTTTTTGATTTTCACTTCTTTATTCTTTGCTTCTATGCCTGTCTAGTTAGATTACCAGGAAGAGAGGCTTTTAATTTACATTGTCAGTTTTTTAGATACTGACTTTCTAACTACATGCTGCATTCTCTCCCCATATTCTACTATTGACAGTACTCTTTCTCCTAAGTCCTGTCTGCAATTTAACTCTCTCTATGTTATTATTATTATTATTATTATTATTTTATTATTTATATAGCACCAACAAATTCCATAGCGCTATACAATGTTGATTTAAAATTGATTGTTTGAGACTATGTTTAGCCCCACACTGTATTCTGCTGTTTATTGAGGGTTTTACTACAAGCACAGTCTCTAAGCCTATAAGACATGGCACAGGAATACTAAGAGTAAACCTTGAGATAGCCCAGAGATAGGGAATTGTATTGGGATTGAGGTATCATACCCCTATACAGATTTGTACTATACCCCTACCTGGCTTCTATCTCTGGTTGCATATTAGCATTTGTATCACTTGTATATACTTTGGTTTATTTAACATTTCTTGGTC